TGCTGGTTTACACAACTTGTTCAAGAGGACTAATGAGATGCTGGTTTACACAGCTTGTTCAAGAGGACTAATGAGATGCTGGTTTACACAACTTGTTCAAGAGGACTAATGAGACTCTGGTTTACACCATTTTCTCAAGGGAACTAATGAGACTCTGGTTTACACAACTTGTTCAAGGGGACTATTGTGCATGGAGGATATGTAACCCTCCAATTGGTGGAAAGCTATAGTCTAATGATGGCTGCAACATAGAGTGAATACCTGTACACATTACTATGTGTAAGAGTGAGAGTTTTGCTACAAATATGGTACATGTCCAAACGTCTTTTCTACATTGGTGTGGTTTAATAGCTCTCAGTTCTGTCAAGTAATGAGTAGCATTTTTGAAAACCCAAATCAAACTTTAACCTTTAATACACAATATTAAAGAAGTTATTCATAATTATGCTACGTTTTAGTTAATGGTATATAAAATTATTTTTCATAATCTTTAGCCAAAACAATATTATACAAAAAAAGAAAACATTTAGATTATATTTTATGTGCAATCATCAACAATTTCAAACTGATAATATTTTTTTATCTATCTTAAGTGAACTTAGCAAGAAAGAATATTTTGGCACCTCTGTGCTCTGTTTCTTCACACGAGCATCCTCAAGAGATACTGGTCTGACAAAGCCCTCACTAATTCTAGTTTCAGCCAGTTTAATTTCTTCATTTTCTTTGCTGATAAATCTTTTATATTCTTCCACAGCTTCCAAATTTCTTGAAAGATTTTCTAGGGTAACCTTGGTTGTTTCTTCTAGCTTCTGTAACTTTTGTCTTAAGTCTGCTAGCTGAGCATTTAGCTCCTTGACATTTTCACTGTCAGGTTGTTCATTTGCAAGTTCTTGACTTTCTCTCTCTAAGTTTCTCAGAACTTCTGTCTGTTGAGTGATCTCAGATAAAATTTGCTAAAAAAAAGAAAAAAAAACAACGTTTTCTAAGGTTTATGATATTAGCTTACCGACCAATAGAGACTTTAGGTTAGAAAATTGTTCTAACTACTGACAGATCAGAAACTCAATGTACAATGGAATTTCCTATTTCAAGGTTTTTTGTACCACTTGGAAGAAAACATTTGTTTTGTAAAAGTAGTAGTTAGATACTACTAACAATTATTAGATAAGTTTAAAATTTCTAATGTTCTTCTAACAAGTAGGTTAGAGCAGTGATTAGATCTTGAGATTTATTACTATTAACATTTATTAACTTCCTCTCTCATCTTCTCTTACTTGTGCATGCCGTGTGCTATCTGCTAATGGAAGATCTTCAAGTGAAATCCGATCTAACATGTTTTGAGCTTGTTCTATCCAGTTGGAAATTTCCTCAAGTTTAGCTGTGAAGGTAATCCACTTTTGTGTTGTCTGTTCGAGGTAGACAACTTTTTCTGTCATGGTCTGCAAGATAACTCGAATCTGTTTCTCAATTTCCACAACTTCTTTCTCAAACAGAGGTTGCCTCTGAGTAGTGACATGCTGGACAAGGTCTTTGCCCAAGGAACGTAACCTTTCTAACATGGCTTCTGTAGCTTCTCGTAGCTGGATGCTCATTTTCTATCAGAAAAAATGTATTATTAAACAAACTATTTCTTTTAAATAAATTATATATTTTATTCATAAGCTTCTAACTTCAGTACTTAAATATTCCCCTTACCTTCATAAGCTTCTAACTTTAATAATTCAATACCTGCTCATACTTGTATATTAGTAAATACAAAATTTAAGTACCCCCCTCAATTACTTTCATAAGTTGTTAATTATCAAGGACCAACTTACCTTTCTAAATTAGTATATTCAGTATTTAAGTATCCTTTTTATTTTCATAATGTAATTAATTTATTAATTAAGTACTTATTTATCTTTCTGTATTAGTATGTTCTGTATTTAAGTATTCCCCTAATCTTCATTAGATGTTAAATTTAATGATTATGTACATATTTATCTTTCTGTATTAATATGTTCAGTATTTAAGTATTCCCTTATCTTCATAAACTATTATATTTAATAATTAAGTACCTACTTATATTTCTGAATTGTTAACTCAGTAGTAAATCCCCTACTTTACCTTCCTAAATCGGTATGTACAGCATAAGATCCTTAGTGATGAGGCTAGTATTAAAATATCGACCTCCTTCTTAAAATTATTGAAGCTGATATTAAAATACCTTATAAACATTTCTTTATATGTTATTATAAACTGATTTTAAGTACCTGTTTCACTTTCAGTTCCTCTTCAATTGTTCGTGGATATGCTGGAGTTGTCATCCTTCTCAAATCTTCCTGTGCTTGATGTAGTAGTCTGAAAATTTCTGACTTCTGTTCGTTATAATCTGTCCACATTTTTTGTGCTTTCTGTAAAACAAAGATATAAGTACTTTTCATCAGAATATAACTAAATTGTTTCCAAACATTTTTTAAATCATCCAACCTGAGTTTCATCCATCATTTTTTATCTTTTATTTGTTAATTGTAATAATTTTACTTATTATTTGATAACAATCTCATTTCAATATATATTTGTTACCCTAAATTTGTTAAATAATAAATAATTTATAAATGTAAATTTGTTTTACTTTTACAATATCAATAGAAAGAAATAGTATTTAGGTGTTCATATTTTGAAACATGTGAAAACATAGGTGTCAGTGTATTGCTGTGAAACATGTGAAAACATAGGTGTCAGTGTTTTGCTGTGAAACATGTGGAAACATAGGTGTCAGTGATTTGCTGAAGAAAACATTTTACTGATTCTCTAACCATCTTATAAACTCAAATACTAAATTCATCAACAAATGCTGTTTGGTTTACTCATTCTTCTGCAGTGTCACATTTCTAATTATACTACCCAGTTTCATATTTAGTTTTCTTTCATTACTTCTTTCAGAGGCACTTCATTCTTCTAACTATTACTATTGATTTCATTCCTCCATAAGCAAGTGATCCAAATACAATTTTGTCATATGATTGTTTTAATGATATTTCTAAATGTTGTTGCTACTCTTACAGCTTGCATAACAGATTTTCAATGTATCAGGTTGTTTCCTTACACAGCATTTAATTTTGTTCATTATGTTATCATGATATTTCTCAAAACTCTCGACAACATAATGAACTCTGGTGTCAAGGAAGTTTTGAGAAATATCATGACAACATAATGAACTCTGGTGTTAAGGGAGTTTTGAGAAATATCATGACAACATAATGAACTCTG